CTTTGATAGAATTGAATGTATGTTGTTTGTATAATTATTCTTTATCTTTAGTCATATGATAACATAGAAATATGTTTGTATATTGACAAAACATTCTATGTGTAAACAGTTTTCATGGCAAACTGTCAACTATGGCTAGTAGAAAGAATTAATAATCGTTTGTTGAGTGTCATGAATAGAAAACAGACTCTAATAGAAAGCAATATTGTTGAATCAATTGATGAAATACGTGACAACCGAATATGAATATCTAATGATTTCTTTTTTTATAAGACAGTGCTAGTAATAATAGTTGACATTTCATGATATACAAAAAATGATACAAGGCAATATATATCTTAAGTTCATTTTCCTCTGATTAAAGAGTACGAAACGTATATATATATATTAGTATTTCTACTCAACTTTATACGTAATATAGAACAATTATAAAATTGTTGTGTTATATTGTAATAAGAAAATATGTGATAAATAAAGCATTTCATGTTGATTTGTTAATCAATCGAACCTCATTTTTAAAAATTTTAACTACAATAACTTTTAGATTAGAATTTGAAAATCAAAAACTGATGCAATATTAATATAAATAATTTAGCATATTTGTTATCAAATGGCTTGAAGAAAAAAAAAAGTCGAAAATTTCTATGTGCACATTGTCCAAGTTTACAGTATAAACGTCTTAGACGTCATATAGTCAAACTATTCCCATTAAAATCTATGTTGCTCTTAACTCAAAATCTGCTTTTTAATAACTTTAGACAAAATATGCAATCAATCCTTTTACCAAGTTTAATAAGCCAATCAAGTAAGAAATGAAGAACCATTCGAACAACTATGTCATATAATTTGTTTTACTGTATGATTAACATATATTGTCATGTTTGGTTTTTGAAGAAACTCGGGGTGTATATATAGCAATGGCAATTTCAAAAGAAACTTTGCCCTACTTTTTATTACATAGAATAGTTTTTCACATATATGTTATTTATGTGAGATCATTTTGAACTTTTCCAAAGTATTTTCCAATTGCATGGTAGACAAAAAAAGGATTGTATATTAAATATAATAAATTAATAATTATGCATTATTTTGAATTAATTATTTTTATATACGTATATGAGTAGAATAAAGACGATCTCTTTATGGATGATAAAATAAATAGAATTTGATAATACATAAATTCAGAAAAGTTTGTTTTCAAGAATAGATATAGATATATGTTTAATAACGAATGAAAATTGATTTATTATATAATTATTCCTTTTTTTCCGAGTAAATCAATTGAATTTCTATATCATATACAAAGAAGTTTTTTTCTTTTCTAAATTAATACATTGTGGCAATATGCAACATTGATTTCCTGTTATAGAATCATTGATAAATTTTCTAAAAAATGTAACTTGTCCTTGATTTAATTTAATCTGACTGTAGAAAACTTTTGAACTTATCATACATTTTCAATATGATGAGAATAATTGAATAGTCTCAAGTGATACTTTTCATAGAAAAAAAAATCAGTTAATTAAATTATTGAATACTCTATATGGGAGGAAAATAATAAACAAAGACAAGAGTTAGTATAGTGATGTAAAAAAACAACACTAATTTTCTACTGAACAGTTTTATCAGTGAATTTGATGAAAGAACGCCTTTTCGTAGTACCATAGATTGTAACAAAAGAGCACTTGTTAAGAAAAATCGATGATTTTGAATTGAGAAAAAGATGCTAAATCGAGAATAATAATAAATTAAGTCAAAATGTGCGTGAGTTGTAATCAGTCATGACATATATAATTATAGGTGATGTGACGTGGTATGCCTGTTACAGTGGACTTATTTTAGTAGCAATCAAACATCAAAAGATAAAACTGCGCTAAAATCGAGAGATCTAAATAGCAGAAAAGAATGTAGTTCACATTTAATAGACGAAATCTATAGGTCAATTAATTGTTCTAAACGTAAGTTCGATCTTTGGATGGTATATGTTGACATATACTGCATTAAAGTATAATTAATGTCATCTATTATTATTGCTAAAGGCAATATCAAATGATAACATTTAAACAGATACAAATAAAAATTAATCGAAAAAATAAATATGACAGCTGATGTAAATAAAATTTGGAAAACTCAATTATTTGGTACATTTAAAATGTTTTCTTTTTCTTTTGACTAAAAAATAGTAAGTTATTTTGTATCGAAAAAAAATGAACTTAATTTATTGATCATTAAATTATCTACTCACTTTTTAATATTAAAAAATTGTCTTTTTTTCTGTTCTCAATAAAACTAATAAAAGCATATTCAAGAAACGAAGGTAATTAATGTTTCTGTCTATAATCAACATGAATTCATATGGATTCTTCTTTATTTATGTACGAGCATTCATTAACTTTTGATAAATATTATAGAAATATATCCTTAAAAGAACGCTGTGCTAAATTTATATTTGAAATCTTCACTCAACATATGACATCATCTATAAAAAGTATGTGCTAAAGGCAATGTTATATTAAATTCTTTATTGCGCACCAAAAAAGTTTCCCAATCCTCCTAACACATAAAAACAAATATTAAAAAGACAGTTCTCGTTTTATAATAAATCTTACAGCTAAAATATTAAATATATCAATATCATATTGAATTAAATCAAGACATTGCGATAAATAATTAAAACGATAATAAATTTTAATATTCCGTCAAGTTTTTTATCGATGCATTCAACAATTATTAACATGAATTTCTTTTCTTACTTAAAAAAAAAAGTATTTTCCTTTCTTTTTTCTTATAAGTAATAAGAAGTGTTATTAAACGTTTTCTTCGTCTTCTCGTCAAATAGATATCTGTCAATGTTCTACAAAGATTTCACTTAGTATATCTTTATGTCATCAAATCATCGTAATGAGAGAAATTAATTGTCTTACTCTTCGACTATTCTTAAAATTTCATTACGGTTCGTTGGGTAATTTCCTCTTCAACAAAAAGAACCTTTATGACTATCGCATTTATTAATTAGTTCATTCTACCATGTGTTTTTCTTTATTTAGTTTAATGATGCATTTTTTTGAAGGTTTTGGTACGATTCATAGGTCTCTTTCGGCTTTCATCACAATGTTGAATTTATTATTGGATTAGGAGAGTAAAATTGTACTTGTTTAACGGTTGTTTTGTATTTATTATCAAAACATCAATATTTGAGAACTTGAAATAGTTTAACAAAAGAAACGAACACTGAAAGTATTTAACACGTTTCGAAAAATAGCCTCGTTATTTGAAAAAGTAACTTCAAATTTTCTCGTACTATTAAATCTTACAATCAAATTTTGCTTAGAATGTGACATTGGTCTATGCATGAATATTAATGTTGAATTTGGTTTTAAGAAAAAAAACTACATATTGGGTTACCAACGAATAGATATTGTGTCAAGCCAAGCAAATATAGTGACTTGTCACAAACTCGAAGAAAATCTATGTTAAAATACTTGAACATGTTCGGAAACGTCATCCTAAGGAATTAGGATCCTCATGCATCGGTTTCCGATCTTTCAAAATATGTACACAGACGAAAATTCTTTTTGCACTCTTACTCCTTCCAGTTTCAGTTGTTTTTCCATAATAAATTCCTAAATTGATTAGCCATCGTTTGAATCTATCAACAATACAGAAAAAAAAAGTTTTTCATATACTAGAATTTCGATAATTTTATTAGAAGTGTCATACGTATCACGAATTTATTAAAGAAGGTTCTGTATTGTAACAGTGCAGACATAAGAACGTGTCATGTTGGAATATTTCATAAGTAAATAAAATTGTATGGATCATTATACATCATGTTTGAAGCAAGGCATGAAAAAATATTTTGAGAACAAGATGATCTTTGAATTCTTCATATTGTGTTCTAGTAGATAGTATAAGAGATTTTATTAATGCATTCTTTTATATGAATAATAATTTAATGCACTTATAAATTAATGAGAACTAAAAGATTCATAAATATTTATTTTTATTTTCATAAAAGAGAGAAAAAAGCACCTTGAGAAAACAATTTGTCAAACTTTCAGAATCTTGTCTCGAAAGGATTTTGGGAAATTAATGCTGCATACTAATTTAGATAATATTTTATTTCAAATCATAATTAAACTTTGTATGTCTAATATGTAACTATTTACAAATATTGTTTGTTTATTTCTTACATTATCTATTAGGGAAAACAAGTGTATTAAGCATTGTTCATTATTAATTCAAATCTTAATTTATTTATGTAGTAAAAAGGTAATTAAAATGAAGAAAATCAAAATTTTGTCGAAATTATTATTGATATAAATTTTAGCAAAAATAAGATTTTCTTAGTATGTTATCAGTGAGCTATTGAATTATGGATATGAATTATGTATTGTTTCTGTTTCTAAGTAAATGATTCGATAACATTGCTTTCATATAATTTAGGTAAATATGAATGAGATGGTTTAGAAGTAACATCAATGTACAATGAAATATCTCTCAAAATGTTTAATGAGATTTCTTAGATAATCAAATGATGAAAAAGCTCTTTTGAACTACTGTGAATCATCTACTAGTTTGTATTAGGGTTATCCATTTTTTTTCTAGTCAAAATGCGGTGTTTATCTATGCTCTGTTAAACCATTTGTTCCTCAGCATCGTTAAAGATTGTATTCATGTTACTTGGCGAAAAATGCATACAAAGCGCCAATATATTACTGACTACCTAGAAATTAGTTCTTAAGCAATGAAAATATTTTTCATAAAATCATTATTTGAATTTTTATTTTTTTTGTTCCGCTGAAGGTTGATTCTAGTTATAATAGTATAACAGATGTTTATTCAAGGATGCTTAATAATATCTACTGAATAAAGTTCATCTGGAATAAAAAAAAAAAATTTTTTTTAAAATTAATATAAGATTATTTAAGATATTTATTGTTTTTTTCTATTCAATTCAACTGAAGTAAAATTACAATGTTCAATAGATTTCTTGAAATTCATTTTTTTCCATTCATTCCATTTGAAATTGAATTTTCTTTTAATGACATACTGTAATACATTGTAAAAAGATTATTTTGTATCCAAAAAAATTTATTTAATGCTCGTATACCAGCGCGTTTCTTTTTAATATCAAAACTTTCTAGTTTCCATATTATATCAATCATTAAATGCTCAAGATAACCAAATAATGTATTCATGGGCATGTATTCCATATTAATTTCTTTACAATTCTTTTGATTTTCACGTAATTCTCCCATTTCTGATATATATTTTAAAAATGTATCATTCCATTCGCTTTGTAGTAATATACGTTTTAAATAAATATTTAATGTATCTTTAAAAATATCAGTTTGTGCAGAAATAAGTGTAAATTTTGTTGCTTCATTTAATACAAACCTTTTAAACTCACCATTATGAATATTAAAATATTCCTTTGTTACATCAAATGAACGTAATTTTTTATAAGTTGTTTCAACAATATATGGAATACGAGGAAATAAAATTGGAGCTAATGAATTAAGTACATGAATATCATCTTTAGTAAAATTAAGAAATTTTGATATATAATCAAAATTGTAACGAAGATCAGTTTGAAGACGAGTTCTATCAATATGCTCGGCCATTCGAATATGTTCCAAACTTAATATAGCTGTTAGTAAAGAAACAGAAGTTTTCTGAATAAATAACTTATATCTAGAAAGAAGAAACTATTAAATAAATTATTAGATAGAGCAGTACTTTTTTTCTCCTAGTTAAAATGATATTAATTAGTTCAATCATGCAAACAAACGACAGTCAGAGTGTGCCAGATCGATATTTTTGTATAAAAACCTGCTCGAATGAGCTCATTATTAATCTCAGCAACATGCAAAGAACAGTGCTGAATATACTTAAATAAATAATGAACTCGACAACAGCTTTTTTATTATTAAAGTAATAAAAAAAAAGTTCAGAATGTCATAAAAGCATGTTTTATGTGCATGTCTTCGTTAGTAATAACGACATAATTCACTCAAAAACTAGGACACTAGTTCAGGGATCAAAAAAATGTGACGCTTAATTATTTTCACACATAATTTATAGATCAAATCTTGAAATATGTTTAAAGTCACTTTTTTAATTATCGAAAAAAAACATATTTTAACTCAGCACATCCATCCAATAGAACCTAATGTATTTACTTTCATGGGCAAAAACAACAGTAGGTCGGTGTCGTTGTCATACCTGAAATATGTGCATTTTCATATTCCGAATATGATGAAGATATAGAATATACAATTGGAATTCGGACGATATTAAAATCTACTTTTTCTCTTGACTCACTCACTTGTTATTATTCCATATACGATAGTAGTCATTTGTTCAGTATTCTTGATTTTTCGTAAATTATAACATTAAATGAATAAATAAAACTTCTGTCTTGTATCTTGACAATTTTATTAGAATATTCTAATAGAAAAAAACAAGAACAACACTTCAATATAATAAAATCTTTCAAAGTCTAGTTAATAACTTCATTTTTTTTTGTGCTATTTGAATCATACTCAATTCATGATTCATCCTTCAGTGTCATAAGCAGACATGTCAGATTAATATTTACATTGAAGAAAAAAAGGCTAATATTTGAAGATTAATATTATAACTAAGCTCAAAGCTTTGGTATCATTGTACATTAGACTGAACTATTGATTCGATGTTAACATTAAATTAGCATTTTATTAAATCTCTAATACAGCTATTATCTGTGACTAGATTTCGGACTATACAAGCTTAAAATATCTCAATAAGAAAACAACTTTTATGATATTTTGAAAACATTCCTCTCCAAAACAAAACCGAGCAGATTAGTTCGGTTTTAGAAAAAAAAGCCTTTTAAGTATGATCTGTCTGCGCTCTAATTGCAGGCAGTATATTTATTAGTTTAAAAAAATGTCAAATTAATGACAATACTAACGCATTAGGATTATTGTTAAAACCAATGCTTCGGCATGAGCATTAATATTAATTAATGCTAATAGGAAATCTGACACAACAGTGCAAGTTACGATTTCTCTTATCATCGCAGAAACATTTCTTTTTGTTAAGTTCAGTTGATATGTATCGTAAGAAGTGTCACATAGATTTTAACATAATTGTTGTTTTTCTTTCAGAGGAAAATGACTTTTGAACAGTTAATATTAATTCATCTACATTCAACTTGATTGGTTTTCCTTTGATAATTGTAAAACTCATTACTCAAGATTCATCTTCTTGAAGTTTGTAAACTTATTTTTGCAAAATTATAGAATAAAAACAAGGCAGAAGAATTTTCATCTTAAAAATTTACTGAAATGAAAGAACTGAATCTGCTAATAAGAGCCATTTTTTTAGAATTATTGGTGCATAAATCACTTCTATTTATGTTTTCCTATTTTGACGTTTAATACTAAATACAGTTAATCATTAGAATAAATTGAAATCGACATAATTGAGGGTAAATTGATAAAGTAAACCAGTTGAACAATGTTTTCAGTAAATTTCTATTCTATTCTCTAACATACCGGGTGATCCAAAAGTTTTGCAACATTTTGTGTTTTGCAAATATCTCAGTTCAGACAAAAGATGAAATCTTGAATTTAATTTTGGAAGATGTGCAATTCAATTCTCGACAAACTTGTGTTTAGCTTAATTTAAAATAATAGACCTAAATTTTCCTATGGACCACATAGTATAATGATGGGAAGTGCATCTATTTCCTACACATTCTCTTATTAAATTATTCCTTCTATAACAGCGAATATTTCGCTTGTAGAAATAATAGACGGTAAGATAGCTCTTGAAAGCTGCCCTCAATTACTTATATATCGAACATTCGCTTATTCTATGAGACAGAATTTTTGGCAAAGCAATATTTTGAGAATCGTCAAATTCTTTTCTTCATTATCTATCGCCAGAAAAACAATTCTTAAAAAACGTGACCAGTGATCAAACCGAGTTCATTTTTGCAAAACTTTGTAAAAAACGTGCTTATCTTGCTAAGTGAAGTCAAAATAGTATTTTATAAAACAGCTCAATTGACATAAGAATCTGAACGATGAAAGGAATGCTGTTTCTGCAGTAGAATATCTAAGAAACTATTTTTATTAGTCCTAAATGGATTGTAATAGAACGCAGCGAATCATTCTAAAAGCGCGTTCATATGTAATAGTATTGCTGATGATTAGATTTTGAAGCGCCTCTTTAAGGCACGAAAAAGTCAAAAAAATATATCATTAGAAACAGATGTGTGAACTCGACACAATTCACATATTCATACTATTTGATCCACAAACATGCTCAGTTCTGTTGTTTTAAATTGAGCCAAATACTAATTTGTAGAGAATTGAATGGCACATCTTTCAAAATTAAATACAAGATTTTCTCCATTGTCTGAACTGAGATATATGCAAAACACAAAATGTTGCAAAACTTTTGGAACACCCGGTATATGTTATTTTCAGAATAAAAAAACGAAATTTACAATAATATCCGTCACATAAAGGTATATTTCTTCAATAAAGAAGAAACAAATTATATAATTCATCAAACAACTCAAGTTTGACAATGCTTAAATACAAACTAAGTTAATTATATATATATATAAGCATTCGTAAAAGTAATTAGAGTTTGAAAAATAGATCTAACTATTAAGATTGTTTTTCTTCGTTTTGAAAGAATGATCATCTGTTTATTGATTGTAATTACAAAAATTCTTCCTTAACATCCTTAGTTTGTTATTCAAGATGTCATTCAATCTAATTAAAATTTAGATTTATTCTTTTTATAATGCTAATATTATTCACTTTATGCACCGAGACTATGTTTTGTTGAATTGTATTTTGATATGACATACAAATATTTATTTAAATTACAATTCATATTGTATTTAGAATGTTAAAATACATGAATATATGTTTGGATTTTTTTGTTTCATTCTTTAGATCAGATGTATAATGATCTCATAGTAAGGAATAGAAATTTTTCAGTTGAATCTGATAATTAATTAAAGATTATCATATTTTATTATTGCTGTTCGAAAATTTACTATACATAGTAAAGAAAATCTTCTAGAAATAAACTCATAGAAGAATTTCTGAATTTTCAATTTTATCGACATAGATCTAATCTCCGGTTAAACCAAACACCCAGATTGTAATTTCCGATGGTATTAACGATAATAATGAATTTTTCTTTTGTTTAAATGCAACAATTATAGCTAGAAACAATAATCTACGAAGAAAAGAAAATGAAAAGTTATAGTCTCCTTTTTAAATTGACTTTTTTTAAATTAGAAAAATAGTTCAATTTATCTAATTGTTTACTTTATAAATTTATTTTTCTCTGAAATTTTCTTATAGAAAAAAAAACCTCCCGGATGAAATATATTAATAGAAATAGGTCAAAAGAAGAAATTATTGAAATTTAGTCGTTCAAGTAGAAACGCGAAATTCTATTTGATGCATTCAGATAAAAAATTTTCTTATTGCCAAATCAACTTATTAAATAAAAAAAAAACTGCATGATAGCATTGGAAAAAAAAATTTTCTATAGCATAGCATGATAAATTATCAAAGCATAGAATAATAGAAGTGTTTCTGCTGTTTTCACTTGTGTTTATAGAAATAGAATTGATAATAATAATACAACAATAAATAAGATATATACATATATATATATATACGTTTAGAAGAAACAAAAGAATCAATATATATTTACAAAAAGAAAAAAAATTATGATTGTTTGTTTTATTTTAATAATGTATTTTAAAAAATTCATTTTGAATCCAAAAAAGTTTATTAATAGCAAATATTGCTCGATGTTTTCTTTGATAATCAATATTATCTATTTTCCATATTGTATCAATAATAACATGTTCAATAAAACCAATTAAAGCAAGAACATGTATATAATCAACATGAATTGTTGGTGTACCCATTTTATGTGTATGTACTTGTCCAACAAAAGATAAATATCGTAGAAATGAATCATTCCATTCTTCTTGTGTAAGAATTATATTTAAATATTTGCTTAACATATTTTTTCGATATTCAATTTCTTCACAATTAAATGATACATTTGTATTATTTGTTGATGAAAAGAATGTTCCAAAACATGAATAATTATGAAAGAAATATTGTTTTGTTATATCAAATGAAAATAATTTTCGATAAACTGTATCAACAATAACAGGAATTATTGGTTGAACATATGTTGATAATTCATTAAGAATTTTGATATCATCATTTGTAAAATCAAAAAATTTTGATAAATATTCAAAACGATAACGTAAATTACTATCAAGACAAAAATTATTGATATTTTCAGTCATGTCTCGTTCATCAACAATGATATAAATATTATTCCTTCTGTGAGCTTTTTTGTCATTTGCTTTTGTATGTGAAAATAACAGAGTATTTTGTTTTTTTTCATGAAAATCTTCACACGAGAATATTATTTCCTTCCGATAATATTAGTATTCGAATGAATAATTACAGCTATCTGATTATTGATTTATGAATAAAGCAGTTTAAGGCATATTGCTAATATAAGAAATGTTTAATGAAGTACTTCAATACTTTCAATAAATAGAATATTGATAATTAAAGAAAAATGATTTCTTTTCTTTTTCTATACAAATAATCAATAGAACTAAAAAATATTTAATGTAGTTGAAGACATTAGAACAAATATAGTCTGTGTTTATATTCTTCAGATGAGACCAGTTGATTGTTTCCGGCGTCTATTGTTCTTCTTATAAATAATCAGATGATTCTCTTATTCGTCGTCAATTTTTATCGCTCTTTTGGTTGTTTTGAACCAAATGCTATATTTGATTTTTTAGAAAAAGTGTGTGCATGCCTTTAAAAAAACGAGACTAAGTATGCTAGCAGATGTCCTAATAATTATAAACATAATAGAATTATTCAGAAGAAATAAATCATATTTTGCTCCCTTTTAAAATGTTAATTTAAATCTACCAATTTACATATTGAAATTGTTCTACAACTCGTTTTTCAGGTCGAAAATATCAAGTCAGAAGTAATGACATTTGGTAAAAAATGTTTATGAGAACTGACGATTCAGAATCTATCAAAAGTTTATCTTTTCTCATTGTTAGGAAAATTTTAGATATAGGTTTAATAAATTGTTTTTTTTCGATGAAAATTTATCTGACAAGATATTAAAACAGAAATTAAATAATCATTAGAAAACATGTTCATTTGATCAGAGTAGATTCAAACTCGGTCACATTAATGCTATATTTATAAATATCATTATAAGCTACTCAAACAACAAGAATACTATTGAATGCAGAACAATGACAAAAGCATATTTTAGATGCGTAATAGAAACTCTAAGAGCATCCTGTTGTTTTCAGTTGTATGTATTTAAAATTCTTTTCTTTTACTTTCATATAATATTCTTCTTTTTCTAGATTATCAAAGAATCGGTTATTCTTAGAAGTAATTTTAATTAAGATCTTAACTTTTTATGAACGTTTTGACCTTGGATTTACATATTTTCTTTTTTCCATATCCTTTTACTCAACAACATTAGAACGTTTTTCTATAAATAGTTTCAATTGGAAGATGTTTTGACAAACTATGAAAATATAATTAAGATAATCTTGATGGTTTTTTGTTTCAAATGAGACATCTAATACTAAGATAATAAAATACACAAAGAAAACCGTTGCTTGTTGTTTTTAAATAGATTTTTCCTACGAGCAACCTTTGGATGATATATTAAATAATGAAGCAAAAAAGTGCAATGCTATTTATAGCATGATTATAGGACAAACGTCACTAGATTTGATTATTTCAGTTATGATATCCATTCTGCTTGAAATACAATGAAAACCCATATTAATCTTTTTGGATCTTATGGAATCGTTGATTTATTTATGGTTTTCCATCTGTTTGATCGGAAGGTTTCCGACAGACGAGTCCAATATTCGACAACTTCTTATCGGAATTATCTACTATGAGGAATTCAATTATTCGAGTAGAATATAATATTCAACGGGATTCATGTCTTTGATTGTTCGTTGTAGAGTTTTTTCAAATAATAGTAGTTAAACATATAACTTCTTCATATAGATTTGAAGTCTAATCATGAGATGTAAACAGCAATCTAATTATGATTAGTTAATGATGCTTGCAGGCCAATAATAGAACTCTTTTATTTCATGAATATCATCGACGCTATTTGTTTACTTACAAGAATGACCTCTTGACTTAATGCACAAGACCATGAAAAAATGCTTTATTTCGTTTATTTCTTTAGTTGAATATTAGTTATTTGAAATAGAAATTAATTGATCCGTTTTCTATTGATTTAGCACTTGAATCTAACTTTTCTGAATCTTCTAAATTATCAATATTTAAACTAGAGATGTTTCGAGATAGGGTGAGGCATGGTAAGAATATAAAAAAATTTCGCAATCAAAGTAAAATATATGAAAAAAGCTTATCCTTTACATCTCTATTGGGATACTATGTCTGTCATTTATTACTTTTAGAACCTTCTAATTAGCATAATATTAAGGAAGTGTAAACAACATTATTAACAAGGCTCTTCCTTGCAATCTAAAATGACTGGAATACGTTTCTCAGTATTCTTAATAACATAGATTCTGAATTTTGCGCAACTAAATGATTATATTCAAGATATCAAGGATGATGTTTTGATTTCTCACAGCTATCAAATGACCAACACTAAAGCATGAATTTATTAAGTTATAGCTTTTGAGAATAATGAATTTCAGTCTTTTCGAGTTTATCGAAATACACAATAGACTGTTCAGATTGAAAAGCAAATGAATAACAATAAAACAAATAAAAAAAGAGCACAAGTGAAAGAAAAAAACAAAACAAAACTTTTGTTCAAAATTTAAAAATAAAAAAGACAAAGCAGTTACAGACAAGTGTTTATCATTGGAAAAGAATTATCGTCTTTTAAGGACTTTATACTTTGCATATTTTGTGTAAGCATAACGAAGCTAAATAAGACATGTGAATTTCATATTTCAGTTCCAAAAAAACTGCACCAACAAACTTTTCCAATTACATTTCGTTTTGTCCAGTTCTTTAGTTTATTTATGGTGGCCATTTTGAAAAGTAAAGACAAGTTTACTTTAGCGATCAGTTCGATCGAAGCTTTCGCTAACAAAGATACTGAGATAAAACTTCTTCGGATAAGATAAGGACACTCAGTCAGACAAGCATCTAATTTAACGCAAAAAACCCGTTTTTTTATTGATTTTGTCTGACTAGGTAAATGTTCTACTGGATAGCAGTGTTCAAATTTTCAAAAAAAAAGAAATTTCTATCGCGAATTATCAAATTACACAAGTGACTACAAGCAAAAAAAGATATTTTCAGAAGGTACTGAAATTACTAAAAATTTTCATGCAGTATACACAAAATCCTCCATAAACGAGCTATAGAAATTTACTGGAAATTTTCAATATTTACGATGCCGTCAAATACATACTTCAAAGATTTTTTCGTAATTGTTCATATACTATAAGGAAACTACTAACAGTCGACCAGTCTACAGGGTAGCCAGAAAATCATCGAGTATTTCTCGATTACAAATAACTATCGATAGAAACAAGACAAAGAGTTGTAGTTTTCACAATTAAAACGAGGAGAATTCCGAACATCGAATCATATAACAAACATAATATTTTAAAAAAATTTAGGTGGGCCTTGAAGAACGAAGCTTTTCGAAATTCCCACACCACATTAAACATTTTTCAAAGACATTTTTTTTTATATGATTCGATACCTGCAAGTCTTCTCTTTCTCATGGTGAAAATTGTATTTATCTTTCTTTTTTCTATCAAAAATTATTCGTAATCAAAAACATTTCGGTGAATTTTAAGTCATACTTTATATGAGAAAAAGTATGGTAATTAACATCAACTTATAACAAAATTTGTCATGTCATCTTGTGTCATATTAAAACATGAAATGAGATTTCCAATCATTTTTATTTTATGTTTTGTTGATTCTTTATGCTTCGAAAAAATTTATGAAAATTTCAAAGATTTCGTTTTTCTGAAACTTTGACTATAAACCATTTAAACGATAAAATAGAACATAACACTGTGTTTGTTATAAAATAAAAAAATGATAGAAAATATTTCATAAAAATATTTTTGTGTAATTAACGTAAATAATTCTTTTCAATTTATAAAGCTCATTTTATCTGAACAGTATAAATAATCCTTTTTATCTTAGAAGAAATAATCTTTAATATTCAAATTAGATCGTTTAAAAAGTGCTAATGAAAATCTATCAAATGGATATTATAATCTTTCAACTATTAAACTGTTTTTGGTATTAAAATAAAGAATAAATTTTTAACAAAATCTTCTACATGCAAAAAAATATCAATAAGGTATATTGTGACTATTTAAAAACTAATGTTATATTTCCAACATTTACACTATGTAAAATAAATAGTCGCATACCTTGTGATATATATCTCGTGATGCAAATTTCACCAAGAAAAAAAATTTTCTCGACTTTGATTATATGAATCGATAGATCAAAGTTTCTACTTTATTGTAAAAAAAAATATCCTTTGAAACAGATTTTCATAACGTTTTGGAAATTTTTTTGTTAAGTGCTTGATTTCATATGCGAAATAAAATTATTTCGACGCTTATAATTGTCTTCTTACGTCGCCTTTATTCTTCATCAAATTAATAAGAATGACGTAATGATAGATAATTTTTTTCGTTACTTCATTCACTGACTGGGTGTGTGGAAAGCGACAGAACGAAATTTGGTTTTTAGTCGTCTCTCTTCACTAAATAGTACTTGATAAGGTAGATACATATCATATGCACAAAAAATAATTATTATCCATCGAAGCATATAATTTTATAGAGAATTTAATTCTCTACAAGTCTGTATTGTTGAAAAAAATTTTGAGTTTGATTTCACTCTCTACAAATCAAGATTATTGAAAGACTTGTATGAAATAGTAATTTTAATTAGCAATTAATATGTATTTTATATGATGTTTTTTTAGAAACTAAAAATGATTTCATGCAATTTGGGTTTTTTTTTCTATTGAATGATATATTTATCACAAAAATATGTGATAAAGAACAAACACACTATTACAAGAAAATTACAAATGTCTAAATAATTATTTGTTCATAGAAAGTCAAATAATTTATATCAATCATTTGTAAGAGAAAAAATTTTTCTTTGTATAGTAAAATAGAAACTTCGATCTATCGAATAGTATGATCAGAATTGCGACACGGTTTTTTCCTTCCTGGGTTATTTCATTCACAAGAAGAATATTACAGAGTATCGAAACACTTATTTTACGTCGTATATTTATAGGTTAAGAGAGAAAAAAGAATCACACATCATTATTGTAACGTAAATACTTCCTTTTTTTTATTCTGATATTATAGTCGCTGAAGCATAGCAAACACATTTATTCTATTCGTTTTAATAAGCAAGCAAGAAAATGACTAATAACAATCAAGGAATAAATACTGACGGAATAAGTGAAGGTTTACATAGTAAGGATTTATGGAAACCATTCAATTGTCATTTGGCATCATATATTAAATCTTCACTTCAATTACGTTTTATTAATTCAAAAAATTTAATTATTGGGCGAGCATTACGTCATGCAATAGTTGATTTACTTTATAATATAACAAAACATCCAAATGAGTATATAGAAAATAACACAACTGTTATTGGTACTGAACATCGTTTATATCATTCACGTCGTTATATATATAAATTAAACACTAATAAATGTCAACTTTCAAAAGAAAATGAAGATGATGATGATGATGATGATAATAATAATAATAATAATAATATTAATAATAATAATAATGATGATGATGATGAAATTGAATTTGAAATAAGTTCAATAGCTCCAACAGTTTTTTATAAACTACGTGAAGATATAGGTATATCAAATATTGATTTTCGTCGATCATTTTCAAAACATCATTTAAAAGATTTTGTTAATCCTGGTAACAGTGGTTCATTAATGTATAGAACATTTGATGATTTATATATATTAAAAACATTACATGGATATGAAGCACGTGTATTAATGAATATTTTATCTGGTTATCATTTACAATTAGTACAACGACCAACAATACTTAATCGTTATGTTGGTTTATATTCAGTACGTTTGCGACGAGTAGTACTATCCACATTTTATATTGTTATTATGGTAAATGCATTTACACCATCATTACAAATTAATCAAATATTTGATTTAAAAGGTTCAACTATTAAAAGAAGAACAAAAGGAAATCTATATCCAGATAAATCACATCAATTAAAAGATATGGATTTTATCGATTTATATCCATATGGTATACGTATACCATCGAATATTTATCATCGTTTATATACGGTGATATCAAATGATATTAAAGTTTTAAACAAACTGAATATAGTCGATTTTTCCTTACTACTTGGAATAAGACATTTAGATAGGTCAAATAATGATCTTATGCAACCTCAACCATCAACTGGTATAGCTGCTCTTTTTAATACAGCACATAGTCTGGCATTGTTTTGTACAAATACACATCTACGTCATCGTTCATCATCAGATCCTCAAATTAATTTAACATCTTTAAGAAATTCACATTTAAAACCATTACAAATGATTGGTGAAAATGTTGATACAAATGTTTTTTATAATAATGATCCAATTGCTTCTGCTAGTTTACCAATACCAGGTATTATAAATAACAGTAATCAACGTGTTTATATATATTTGTGTATTGTTGATCTGCTTCAACCATTTGATTGTCGTAAATGTATAGAACAAAAATTTAAAAAAATTACTGATCCTAATCGACATAATCAATATTCTAATATTGAACCCGACGAATATGAAAAACGACTTTTAAATTTCGTATTTGAAAAAGTTTTTATTTGTGCTGATGATGATTTTCCATGGGTTGTAACTGACGTTAATGAATCTGTTACTAATATTAATAATGAATCATCAATGGACAATAATAGACGTATTAAGAAAACTCCTATGCGTAGACATCGATATTTAATTCAACGTTGTAAAAATTCCATTGCAAACAATGAGAGTGAAGCTGATTTTTAAAGTTTTATTTCTTTTTTTTTAAATTTCTTTTTTGTACATGAACAAAAACTTTATGTATCGATTAGATTATTTATTCTTTGTTTTTTTTACTTTAAAAAATGTCTGGTTTATAACCTTGTCTAAGAGAAACAATAAAAAGCACACTTGCTACAATACCAAATACTCTTAATACAAGTTCTGTTATTCGTATTGAAGTCCATTCTATACGCATTGAATTTCGTCCCATATATCGAATTTCTACAATACTTTTCACCAATGTTAATATAAATATTGCAATTAATATCAATAGAGATACAGTAAACATTTTTAAACGACAATACCATAAAGCAAATATTGCATATAAAACAAATATAAACATAAATAGACCAAGAATAATAAGAATTATTGAATCATGTATTGGTCGAAAACGTAATATTAAACCACAAATACCTTGAATGATATATTCATATATACCTGTTGAAATAACTTGACCATAGAAAAGTGTAAGAATTATTTGAAGCCAACGTACTGAACGATTAGATAAATTCATCGTTCGAACATTAAAAAACAAACCGAATGCAAACAATCTAGATTGTATATACTGATTAGAAACAATGTCAACTTGATATTTTTCTGTTTCGTTTTCTATGAAAATCTGTTGCCATATATTTCTGTGTGTGTAGGTGGATTGTTAATCATTATTTTATTTGCAATTTAAAGTTATATACATATCTCGATGGTTACACATTCATATGTATTTTAAAAAATCTACTTGTTATTAAATATTTTCTTAAAATAATTTTACTTAATCGGGTTATCATACGAATTTATTATTGTGTTAAGTTGAATAATGTTTGTGTATTGATTGTAATTATATAGAAAAAAAACAACTATAGAACTACTTTTGATAGATTGAGAATTTCAACTTTCTTTTTGTTTTTTAATCATTAAACAAACATTCGTTAAATAATATTAATTATTTCTGAGAAATATTGACCTATTAAATATATATTGATTGCATTGTTCATTCAAAATTATTTATAGTAGAAATATTACGTGCTTGTTTCTGTTTTTTTCTTCAATTAAATTAATATTATACTTTTTAACATTCTGAATAGTAGAATAAATTCTTTCATCATATTTCAACAATAATTGACAAATGATTCCTTCGTCTTACATAAATAAAAGTTACAAATTCAATATTCATATGTCATAATCACCTTTAATTTACGCACATCAATATGATGTTTTATTAATCGAGAACTGAAAAACGCGAAATATTTCTTTCCTAACTAAAACAATTAATGTCTTTGCATACGCAAACAATATTTGTCTTCATTAACAAAACAAAAATCATTTTTTTTTTGTTCGAAGTTATTTACAAGACAAACTTCATTTGTATTGAAGTATGCATATCTGGAAAAAAAAATATAAACAAAGAAAAAAAAAGTAACTGCTGCTGCCAGCAAATGGCATCATCACACTTTTACATTGTATGTATAATGCTCAAGTGTTGAATGAATATATATATATATATATTCATTATACTCACACATCGACATTCGCTGTTGACATAGCAATCTTGTTGGTGCGTCATTGTGTATGAAACATTAACTGTAGTAAAGACATTACACTACAATTATTAAAACTATATGATTCAATGCAGATAGCCACACTTAATTATCAATATAATCCAAAAGAAAATGTTAATGGTGGTTCTCGAACAAAATTACACCAACGACAAATTCTTTCAACAATAACAAATCCACCAAAAAAAAATAAACAAAGACGATCATTGTTCTCTGATCTTAGTATTCATTCAAATGTTCCATTACCACCAATAAAAACTAGTGGTAAACGTCCAAGTTCAATACGTATTAAAGGTAGTAGTCTAACATCATCAAAATTAGGTGATACATCAATTTATTCCATACCTCATCGATCACGTTCACATAGTCGACAATCAAATAGAAGTATTTTATCAGATACAAGAAGTAGTTCAGTATGTTTCCCGATCCTCCTCCTCAAAAAAAAAATTTAAACAAACAACAGATTTTGGTGTTTTTTTTTTGTATTCAAAATATTTTTATTTTTTAATATAGCTTTCACCTGGAGGACCATTAAGACCAGTATCAAAAATAACTCGTCTTAAATTTGGTTATCCTATTAAAATACGTTCAGCTGATTTTTATGGTCCAGATAAAAGTGAATCAGAATTACGTTTACGTGAGGAATCATTTATTAATGATTCAGTACGTTCAGCACATGAAAGTCGTCGCTCATCAATTATACCACCTTATGAACCACTTGATGATCCACATTTAAGACGATTTTTTCAATCACCTATTGTTTTGGATATTGTACGTAAAACATTAAATATTGATGCTAATAATTCATATGAACGATCATCGAAAAATTCCAAATTTAAAAAAACTTCAAGAATAGTAATAGCAAAAAAACAAAACTTTAATTTAAAAATGTAAAACTATATTTGTTTTATTTCTTTTTCTTTTTTGTGTGCTATAGAAAGATTCAGATGAACATCTTGATGGTGATTATCTTCGATTAGTAACTAAAGGTTCATCTGGTTATGGAAAATTAAATGGTTATGATTGTATACCATCTTATTCACCGGTTCGTAATTATCGTCGTCGTTCAAGTACAGTTGATTCAACAGTACCAATGTCAAAACGTTGGAATACAATTGAATCTGGTTTACATCGGTCAACAACACAAGATAAATACCATGCATCAGCAAATACATCCGTGCAAAGTTTTCCAACTAATAATATCGATCGATTAGAACAACAAAAGAATAAGAAATCTCAGAAATATAATAAATCAAAACAACCTAAACCAATTGCAACATCATCACCATTAAGACGTCCTTCACGACATACAATTGAACAAATAACATTAAATAATGAATTATCATCAACAGCCAAAACAGATGGCAATATTCCTGAACATAAAAGTGACATAACAGTACATTCTAATTGATCTCAGGATTAACATTTAATTTAATGTTGTATAAAGAAACAAAAAAAAAAATTCCTCTTCAAAAAAATGTTACAAATCAAACAACATTGTCATTCGTTTTTTCTCCTGCTTTATTAAAATTCTTGCTTTTATTAAATTAATACATTCTGCTTTTTATGCAACAAAAAAAAAAAAAACAAATGTTAGTGAAAATTTTACAAAACAAAACAAAAACATTAGTTTGAGTATGTCATTTAATATTCTAACATTCAATCAAATCTTCGAAAACTGTTCTATATTAATTCAGTTTCATCAAACAATTAATAAAACCAATTGTGAAGTTTCTATTTTAGTTAAGATCAGAAGCGATTGAATGATTCTTCATTTTAATAATGTACAGTTGTGTATTTCCTATAAAATTTAAAAAAAAATATATTACATTAAATAATATATGAAATTCTAATGGGAAAGTTAATTTTCAAATTACTGTAAAACGTTCCATAACAAGATCTAGGGTTGTTTTTTTGTTTACTATGCATTTACAGTTTTCATCAAATTCTGTCAGAACTTGTCATCTCTCGCATTAAGTTTCATTAAGAATAATTTTGTATAATAACTTACAAAATGTATTTTATTTCATAGATTAACAACAAATAATAAATAAAATAAAAATTGAAGTAGAGACTTCATTCATTTGATTACTATAACAAATAAAAATAAAAGAAAAAAAAACTATAGAAATTAATTCAATAAGATATTCTATTCGTGCTTCTATTTATTTTAAATTATTTTCAAATTGATTATATCAAAATTTAAAAAATTTACTTACTATCAGCAACTTACTTTTATTGAATGTTCGTTTTTACTTATTAAAAAAATGTGAAGTGTTTTTTTCAAAACATAAATTTTCTTGTTCACCCTTTTCTGTTTTCTCTGGTGTTCATATTTTCTCAGCTAAATGATTCATAAAATCTGGTATTAAAATCAATTGAATTTCATCTCATCATAATATATATATTGATAATATCAATTACATAGAATACAATTTTTGTTTGTAAGAAAAACTATATTTTCTATACCGATACTGATTTGTATGATATAATGTGTATGCAAGTATTAATGTTCGAATTAATTCTAAACAAACAACAAATTATTAAGTATGATTATATATAAATGAAATTCACTAAAAAAAACAAAAAAAAGGAATCTAACGATATAAATTTTAGTTACTGGATAAGTCGTTCTTTGTTCATACATGATTTTAACCAATTTACAATCGAAATTAGAAATTTGCGGGACTCAAGTTTAAGTTTCTTTAACATATATATAATTAATGTACCATAAGGAAATGCAAAAAACACAATGACACGAAATCGAGTACAGCTGGTTCCTTTGCCATTAAGATATAAGTGAAATTTCGAGGTCTCATAGGCAATATTAATACAGAATACAGATGATTGAATCAAGTTTAAGGATATTTTCTAACCAGGATATTATTCGAATAGTTATCCACGACTGGAGCTCACAAGGAGATATCAGTAAGACCAGAAAAGTCTAAAAGATTGATTTATTCATATAGGTTTTTAGAGTCAAGTTAAGATCGATTTACTGGATTTTCAATTCAACTTTTTGTAAACTTCGAACAATCTAATATCAGAATTTCAACATAAAATTTTCTTCGTCAATCTCATGATTCGTAGAATACTCTGAAAGTTTAAGTCGACAAACATATTTTCTTCTGAAAAATCAATATTTCGATCGAAGTTTTTACGATGTTTTACTGATCATTAGGCCTATCTGTCGAGAAAAATTTTACGTTCCAATTCTTCTATTTGATGTTTCGGTATCGTATCAAAAGCCGGCTCGAAAACTCAGTAAAGTCCCCCTTAACTTGAATCCAAAGGTCCATGAAGACAAACACTTTTAGATTTAATCTAGCCTTGCAGACATTTTCTTATGAACCCAATAAGAGTTAAAATGACAGATGATTTCTTTATAAATATGTTTGTTCTAACGATGCATAATTAATAAAATTTGTCTTACCTATAAATTTGTACGACCATTTAATATTAATTCATTATCATTTAAAAATTTCTTTTTTCTCTGAAAATCTCAAACTAATCATATACTTTTATTTTCTCTTCATTTCCTCAATATCATCTATAACATAAAATCAATTCAAATAATTTTTTCTTTTTGTAAAGAATTACTTACCTCGATTGAATTCTTGTTTTTAATTAAACCAAAATCTGATATGTTTTCTTCTAATATTCTACATTAAATATTTGACAATAATTTTTTTTTGACAAAGAATTTATTATATATAACATGAATAATAAGCAAACACAAATAAATGCCATCATACGCCTGTTTTTTTTTTAATTTGTCTTGTTATAGCGATGATGGTATTAATATAATATTTCATCATATATATATATATGTGTTGGTAAATTTAAAAAAAAAGAAGAAAAGGAAGAAATAAAGAGACAAGAATCCATCCTTGTATACACGCATACACACAAACAATAAGTATACAAAGATGACAATGATTGGTTGTTCTTTTATTATTATGAATAATAATAATAATAATTAAATAGTGTTCATCTCAATTGAACTATTATCAATGTTTGCTTTTGCCATATATTTTTCAAGATCATTATCAAGACTTTCTTTTGTAAAATTATTGTTTTTATTATTATTATTATTATTTTGATTTCGATTTTGATTTCGACCATTTCCACGACCTCGTCCAAAATTTTTATTTCTATTAGGACGTCCTCGATTTGATCCTCGATTTGATCCTCGATTTGATCTAATAGAAAAACAAAAACATTGATTTCTTTTGTAAAAATATTAAAATCTTATTTTGTTTGTCTTTTACCTATTTCCAAAACGTCGACCTCGATTATTTTTATTATTATTTCCACGTCTTGTAAAACCACTAAATCGACTAATTGTATTATTATTTAAATAACCACGTGCTCGAGAACGAAATATACGTGCTAATCAAATAATTATTCATATATAAGAATGATCATTAGTTTTTCTTTTGTTAAACATACTTCCAACACGACCTTGTCCTCGAAGTCGTAAACCCATACCACTTTGTCCACCATATAAAAAAGAATTACCACCGCCACCACCACCACGTCTTCGGTTTCCAAAACTAATACGTTGAAAAACAGGTGCTGTTCGTGGATTTGTATATTGACGATTAAATGTAGCAGCATTATTACCAAGACCAAGTCGATAATTAATACTTCGCTATAATAAAAAGTTATTTTCAACTTAAAATGGTCAAAGAAATCTCATTAGGAACAGTGCTTTAGTGGAACTTCTTTTGAATGGACATACTTTTGACTTTTCAGAGGTATCTACTAAGGGAAGGCTGTACTATATGTTATAAATAGAAGTATAAAGAAAATGTGAACATGTTTATCTTAAAATTTGATCGGCTTTTTAGTTTCCTGAGTTTTTGTTTTTGTAACGAAGATGTTACAAATGTATTTATCATTTTTCGAAGTCACTTCCTAATAAATTTTTAATAAAAATAATGAAATTTTACAATGTAATGTTTTATTTCTTTTTTCGCCAATCCATATTTAATAGTAATACAAACACAAGTCGACCTTGACTACAACTGGTACCTTTCATATTTTGTATCATTATGAAACATGTATTGAAAAATATGAATGAATAGTCAAAGTCTTTACTCTTTCATCTAAATTTTAGATACACTTATTTTAAGATTGTCTGAAAAAAAAAATTTATATTATTTCATCATGAATTCATCAAGAAGCAACTTAAAAACATGACAAACTATGTTTAGTTTATTATTGAAAGAAAAAGTATGAGTATCAAAAGAAAATCTAACATCTAGTAAGATCACTATTTATAGAAGTCCTTCAATTTTCATCTTAAAATAATCTCATATAACTAGTGACATAATCAGAAAAAAAAATTTTCGGACAAAAAAATATTCATCAACTTATAAGTTCCCTCTAGCTACTTCTCATTATATGGTTACGACATGAAGTGTAACTCTTAAGAAATTTGTTCAATAATCTTGATCAAACTGCTTCATCATATCTGTAGTACTGATTATTTTTCTGCAGGCATATTCATATATTAACAATCATAAAAGAAAACAAAACGATACTCATCTAATCAAAATAACTATCAAGTAATGAATTATATATACAAAAGAATAATAAATTTATTCATATTTACTTGTTTAAGACGATTTGCAATTCTAACTGTTGCTGATTGTTTATTTCCAAATAAATCTTGTCGAGATTTAGGAATTATTACACTTGTTTGTTGTTGAATACGAGGTATTGATATAGGTTGTTTAGCAATTTCACTAAATCTATATGAAATCATTAAATGATATTATTTTATTTTTAAAATAATACATACCTTTGATCAAGTGTTAATTTTGTACCTGATTTTAAAATAATTTTGCCAGTAATCATTGTTTTCTTTTATTTTGTTTCTTCGTCTATGTAATAAATGAGTGAGATAAAAAAAAAATGAAATGAATATAAACGACAATTATTTTCCTTATGATGATGCGTGAGTGGGAATAAACAATAAGCAATTGATCGATTGGTTAACAAAAAATAATATTAGCAATGATTTATGAAGAAATAGTTTTTAAATATAATTCTAAGGTTTGAATTTTTTTCGCATAAAAAAAAACAAATTTTCTTTTTGCGTCTTTTTAAGGAGTCCTTTGTGCAAATTTTTATTGGTCAAGTATTTTAGCCAATGAAGACATGAATTAATTAGATAGAATAGAACTTATGTTTTCATTATGAAATGTTTTAGATATTCATAGAATATGGATTTTCAATATCGAGTCGATGTTAAAATCAATAGTGATGATGTTATCAGTGTGTCAAAGTTACATTGTGATCGATACGAACGATTTCAACAATTAATTCTTGAAATAATTAATCGTACAAAAGATTTTTATTTTATGAAGAATTATTTAAGAATATATAAATATAAATATAATTTAACTTTACATAATAAAAGAAAATTCTTATTTGGTTCATATACAATTAAATGAATATCAATCAAATTTGTAAGTTTATTGAAAATTTGAAATTTAAAACCATTAAACAGAAATTTGAGTAACACATCAAAAGTTTTAAACTCATCTGACGATTCATCATTGATAAAATTGAAGTCTGAATCTTGAATAATTTCTATTTATCAAAAGAATAATTATCAATAATCATATCAATATAATTGCGACTGATATAACATGAGAAACTAATTTTCTGTAGACAGGAGAAGAATTATCAATGAAATTTTTACCACGAAACGTTCATAAGTAATATTTCATCTATTCCATAAGGGGTGACATTGAATACATCGCTTTAAATCATCTGAAATTTTCTTTCTACCAAAGGATTTAGTAAGCTAAATCTACTCATACTTGAATAACGTCGAAATTTATTACATAGTAATGCAATATGAAATAAATTTCGATATCAGAGGTCGACAAATTCTTTATTGAAAATATTCTTTGATCTATACGAGAGTGTATTCTCTTCTGGAGCAGCAATTTAAAGTTCTAGTTGGAAGAACACTTATTTATAGAAGTACAGACACATACTATATTGCGCAATAAACTCAAGTACCGCCTTCATGTTAGATAAAATACTGCTATTCAAATAGTTCTTGTCGTACAGACTGATGTGCTCTAACAATTTTTGCTCTGTTATTGAAAGTTTTCGAACGGATCACCGCCAACAGTTTTTTCACTCATTTGATTTGAATTGTTCGACTTCTATTTATTTTTATTCATTTTTCGAAGCTTTTCTGACATTATGTTTTTTTTTCAAATCAATTTCATGTTCTAAAAAAAGTATCAGAATAATTAAAAAAATTTTAACAGATGTTTTTTGTCATTATAAAATCTATGCATTTTATAATATGTTAGTGTCCTGTCATTCTTTAAAATTTACTTTTCGAAGAAAAAAACAAAACCAATCTACAGTAAAACTAATGTTGAAATGTGTGTTTCGATATGATTTTTACATGTAATTCTTGTATTCATTCTATTGTATGATTAAATATTTTATTCAAAGGCACGATCTGTTGCACATCGTTATTAATAGACACTAATTGGAATTCAACCAATGATATCTCATATGAAAGGTGTATGTTATAAAAAGTAAATTGATTTTACTTGATCTTTCAATTAATTCTAATATAAAATTTGATCTATTCAATAATATTCTATGAAGATCATTAATTTTTCATTAGATAAAAACAAAACAACAATCATTTAAATAATTTATTTTAACATATGAAATATTATTTTTCGAAAACATCATTTTATACTTTCAATCATATGAAACAAATATATTTTAAAGTGAATTTAAAATAATTCATAGAATAAATCTAATTGTTTTCTATGTTTGCTAAATTCTAAATCAAAAAGTAAAAAAAAACAAAAACAAAAGAAAAAAATATATTTTTTATGTAAAAAATATACAACGCAGCTCGAAGCGAATGAATTGAAAAATGCGTTCGGAACAGGAGAAAGCGTTAAGAGAATTCGAAAAAAAAAGCCACGAGTATATTTTATATCAGCAGACGAATGTGTTCTAAGCTGCTTATTTACAACTCATTCGTTTGCTCAAAGCATTTTTTAAAACGTGTGTTTCGAATAAACGAACGCGTTTTCGTTTTATTCTCCTTGGCCTGAGGAAAAGAAACAAGTTTGAATAAGTTTTAGAACAAATCATTAATATTCGTCCTTTCTTCATTGTTGAAATAGTGTTTTTTTTTTTCGTTCTCCAATTTGCTCATAATCTTGAATCAAACAAACACTTAAATGTTCATTCAAGACTAAATACTCGTTTATATGTTCTAATACCGTTTCCATTATTTGTTTCAATATATTAACTATAACTATAAATTTCTATGTAGAAGAGTTTCTTTTCTTGAATTAGTTGATTTTTATTATGAATGAAAAATAAACGAACCATATTTCCTTCGGTTTCATATACATATATATATATATTTATATGTAAGTACGTATGTAAATATTTCTCTTATTCAATCGGCATATGATACACGTCATTTTGACTCGATCTCTTTCTTTCGATATTGTTTTATATGTGTGATGCTATTTGTTCAATTGGATGTGTTCAACAACTCATTCTTTTCTTTTGTACGTACATCTGTCACGTAATAGAAATTTTTCGTTTAGACAAGTAATATTTGTACATTTTACACTTTAACGCTCCAAGGGAAAATGATCATATGTACAATTTAATGAATAACATATATACTCATAGTAATAGAAGTCACTGTAGTTATTTTTATTAACGACCATGTCCAGTAACTAATTGAAGATTTGATCATACAGTCTATAGACATTAGGTCAACTTATCCCCCTATTTTTTCTTCTGAATAAATATTGACATGCAGTCTTGATCGACATCAAAATAATGACAAAAAAGAAAATGAGTGAATAAATGTAAAAGATTATTTTTTTTGTTCCATGTCGTGTATGCGTGCTCATACTTAATTCTGTTCTCTTTTTTTTTTCTTTTGCTCTTTCTTTTCTCGTATGACACAAAACGCGAGAAAGTTGTCAGCCAAATGAGACAGAGGGTACACACAAAGCGACATTGAAATCGACTGTTATTCTCTGAAAAAAAAAAAGAAGAACGAGTAGGCGAAGGGAGTAAAGAAAAAGAAAAAAGATGGAATCATACAAAAAAAAAAATAGAATGGAGTATTAATCGGTTTCTTTTTGTCGACCCTTTTACATAAAGATAAGAAACAACAATGAAAGTGAAGTATTTTGTGAGCAATGGTTAGATGACTATGGGTTGTGTATAAAGAAAAAGAAAAATGGAAATGTTTATTTTTTGATAAAGTTCGAGTTGTCTTTCGTAGACTATTCAGTAGGTGTTTTATTCAAAATACATCAACATACACTTTCATTGCTTGATTTTTTTCAACTAACAGTCGCCAAACAACATTTCTCTTTCCTTCTCTATTTTTCTTTTTTAATAGTTTTTTTTTTATTTTTATACATTATATAAAACCCCCTTTCATTTCTATACGTTAGTGGTGGCAAATCAGTGTCCTGTTATGTCTATTTAATTATGGAATCTAGTCGATGAATACGATGGGACAGATTTTGTCAATGATTATTATATATAAAACAATGATAAGAATCAACTGTCAATGATGTCAAATATCGAACGACGTGAATAGTGTTCGTCCTCGATTTCATCTACAATGTACTCCTCAGTTGTTAACAAATCAACAGAACCTTGTCTTATATTACCATCGTCTCTTGTTACAACATCATTAATCTCAAATAATGATAGAACACTTATCAGTAATAATTCTACATTATCATCACCACAATCATATGGAAGAAGAGAAAATATATTAACATATACATCACGTTCATCATTAAATAATTCAAATGATTATTATACAAAAAAACGTATTGAAGAATTACATGAACGTATGGATGATATTCAAATATCAAGTTTTTTAAAATTTATTAATTATCATTTATCATTAAAAAGTGATGAAAAAAAAATTTTTATAAATAATTTATCAAAAGATTTATGTAATGGACATATTTTAATTGATTTAATTGAAATATTATCCTCAACAAAATTAAAACGTGAACATGGTCATACACGTTTTCATGCATTAACTAATGTTCAATATGTTTTAGATTATTTAAAAGCACGTATGCAACATATTGATATATCACCAAATGATATTGTATTAGGAAATCGTAAACAAATTTTAGCATTATTATGGATTATAATGAGAATATTTGATTTTCCAGCATTTCGTATAACAAATAAAAATTGTTTTGTAGAAAAAACACTTTTAGGTTATGGAGAAGATCGTAGTATTATTATAAATTGGTTAAATGATATTTTAAATCATAGTTTAAATACAAAAGAAATATATATTAAAGATTTTTATATTCATACATGGGATAATGGTTATTATTTATCAATAATTATTAAATATTTAATACCATTAAGTGAAAATTATTTAACAAATCAATGTTTTGATTATTTACAAGAATTAAATAAATTAAATTTATATGATACACAACGTTTTCTATTATGTTTAAATATTTCAAAGTATTGTTTTAATACAGTAACAATTATTGATTTGAAAGATAAAACTGAAAAATGTTTATTTAAATATTTTACTGAATTAAAACAAAATATTTTGATTATTTTCAAAACAAATCATATTGGAAAATTAATTCAAAACAATCCTTATACTAAACAAGTACTTGATACAGTTATTCAAACAGGAACAGGTAAATATCAGAGAAATGTTGAGATGATGTAATAGATTAAATCAATAGATATATATATATATGTACGTTTCACTTTTTGTTTATAGAACATTCTTCACATATAATTAATAATAATGAAGAATATTTAAGTTGTATTGA